GGGGATTCCATTTCTGGCTCTATTACTGGAGAGGAGAAGGTCTAAACTTGGGCTAGATATGCAGGAACATCCCTGCGGACAATGCCATTTGCTAGGGTTCATATTGTTCCTCCGGATTTGTCCATCCTCTAAATTCTTCTGATAGGATGGTGTGTTGGAAAAGTAATAAATAGTACTAAATGTAAGAGATTTTTTTTTCAACTCAGCATGCCGTCAATTCAGTGAAGTAGGCCATTTCTTTGTTGTATGGCTTTGTCTTGCTTTAAAATGTTTCATGCTGTTCTATAAAATTACGCAATAATAATATATTACAAAATAATAGTCAACACTTTAAAAAAAAGTTGACACACTAGGGCTGGGGAAAAAATAATGATATCTCGATATTAATCTATTCTCATTTTTAAGGAACGATATCGATTCTTAAATCCCAATAATCGATTTGTTTTCAGTTAATGGACGGAATGTTGAAGGGCACTTCTCATCCAATATATCGCAATAAGCATTCTGCTTTGGTACTTTTAATATGAAACAAAGTCTCAGATTTCAAATTCTGTCCATTGTATTGCAGTATTCAAACAATTAATGCCGTTTTGGCACTGTTTAATCTGGAGTGACAGATCACTGTAGCGCCTCAGTTCAACAGACGCGGCAGCACGAGGCGCACGTGAACTGATCGTCTCCTTCACATTAATACCAGTTTCAGCACAAAATAAACATGACTAAACATCCGAAGGTAAGTTAAAAGAAAGGGTACAACTTTCAATCAGTGTTTCAGCCGCGCAAAGACGTCAATATATAACGGCTTGTAAACAATGTCACGTAACGTTACATTTACCTTGCATCAAAATTCTGTCTATTCATTGTATGCATTTGAAATATATAGTGGGGTTTTGTTTTATTGTACCCAAGTGTACCTAAAATAAAAAGTGTTTAATATACAGGTTTGTGGCTCTTAATTTCCTATTAATTAACCATTTGTAATCTTATGTTCACTGTTCATTTTTTATAAATATAGGATTTGTATTAAATCTATATTCATTCATAAAGTCAAATCGAATTCGAGAATTGAAATAAAAAATCGAATCGAATATCGAATAGAAAATCGAATAGAAAATCGAAATCGAATCGAAACGAGAGCTTGAAAATCGAAATCGAATCGAATTGGAACATCTGAATCGATACCCAGCCCTAAATATAACGCTATAATAATATACTAATACAGCACTTGTATATTATTGCTCTTTATTAATTAATTAATTAATTAATTAGTGCAAACTAAAAGAATAATACAAGCCGCCAAATCCCAAACACAGAAACACACGTCTAAAAAAAATCAAACTGGAATAAAATAAGGCTTTGTCTGTGTTCTTTCCATTTAAAATTAGAGGCAATCATTTCCAAACAATGATATAATTATGTTTAATAATCATTAAACATAATAATCATTATCCAAACAAAGATGCTGCATACATGCAATATGAGGATTTTTAAATCTAAGTCACATATTTGAATCGATTTTCAACCGGCTCGCGGTTAATCGTTACATCCCTACCACTTATGTTATTCGGCATGCTTAAGATGTGTTTTTTTCTTTCTACATATTATCTTAAGGGTTTTTCCATTGTTTTAGTTTTAGTTTTAGATTGTAACTTTATTATTTTAAAAACTTTATTAAGTGTAATTTTAACAAATCAGTCAATTTTAACCTTCAATATTATAATAATGTAGTACAGACTGACTCAGACATTTCAGACGCGCGCTCCTCTTCACTTCGGTGCCAAGCGCGAGTAAAGCGAGTGCAGAAAAGGGTACTGTGCTCGAAGCGCCTGCTCTTCAATTGCACGCACAAAGGCGCTGGCGCGCGCTGTCGCCTGTATCCTTTCATATCAAAGCACGAAATAAACCACGTGCATGCAATGCCGTGGTCAGTTAAGTCATGAAGTTACCAAAAAGGCAATTAAAGCTGCCTTAAAACTGTGCATGCATGTAATATATTTTATATGAGTCACATTTAAGAACATGTCTCTGAAATGGTTTTCAAAACTGTCCTGGAGCAGCCCAGCACTGTCTCACTCATCTAACACACCCGATTTAACTCGTTAGCTCGTGTTTATTTTAGCACTTCAGTCAGTGAATACACAGCCTGCAAAACACTAAAATAAATATCAAAGAAATAATACAGTTAAAGTTGGCATGAAATAAAAAAAAAAATTCTAAATATGCATTAATGATTTTGTGAATGCATTCTTTTTTTTCTTTTTTTTTTTATTACATTTTTTAAATCAAACTCTGGTGATGTCTGCTGGACTTCCCCAATCATTTAAAGTCACCATGAAATCAAAATTGACCATTCTTATTTTTTAATGTAATACTGTAGTGTTTATTATAAATAATAGATCCGTGCACTTCATTATTTTTTTTTAATTCATGTGCCCTCATAATCTTTAATCAAAAACGTTAACCTCCCCTCCCCCTCAAAACGACTCATCTTCTCTTCCGGTCACGAGCTATGGCGCAAGGGCGGAGCTAGTGACATGAGGGGTAAACGCTGGGATAAACGACAGGGGGAAAAGCTGAAGCTGATGCTTCACTTTATAGCACTGACACCAGTCATGAGGGAGTACGTTACCCCTAAACATTGAAAAGATATTAGGATATTACGACAACATTACTCTTAGGACATCGCAAACTAATTTTTTTCATGAATATGACTTAACCTGATGGAGGACGTGCTCAGTCACTCAGGCAGTCTCTCTCTCGTGCGCGCTGTTTAGGCATGTTTTGTACCATTGATTGCCATCGTCATCCTTAATAAATAAAACATTTATTCATGCTTGGGTGTTGGCTGTGAATCCAGTGGAGAGAAATCCCCCCCCACCACTAACTGCAAACTGGCCCAGTTGATGGGAAAAGTATTCTTAAAATGCATTCAAAATTCAGAATAATTTGTAATATATAATTATTCACGGTATTTAGAACTGCCCACGATAACAATATCGTGCATATTCATTACAGTGATATATCGCATTACCGAATACCAGCACAAGTCTAGTCACGGTAGAGAAGAAAAGACAATCGCAACTTCCGGTTCATGCCGACTTTAATCGGCCTAAACTCCTCCCCATTTTTTAATAATCAACCATAGGCTGATTCACATCAGCCTTCATCCATTCAACAAACAATGGATAGAGTCTGCGTTACACATTTTCTTTTCCTTTTCAATAATCCGATTCATTCAGATGTCACAATACGAAATAAAAGATCTGTTGCTACTTCAGTTTCATCGCAACTTTAACATATTCAAACAAATCAAATACATAGTGGGAACACTGTCAGAATAGGCCAGATGTTGGGTAAAATGTATAAATATTATTATTAGTGGTCGACCGATATGGGTTTTTTGACAGTCGATGCCGATATCTTGAAAAGCATGGTGGCCGATATAAAGCCGATATAATTTTATTTATTTTAATTAATATTTAAGAAATTTTAAATCACTTGAAAATGGATTAAAAATAATTGTGTAAAATAAACAGACTTTTCACAAGCATTTTTCACAAATAAATATTTAATAAAAATCTAACTGAAAAGGAAGTAAACACTGTAACCAACAGGGCACTCAGTATTCTGGTAAGTTTGTGTGCATTGGGAAACATTTTTTTTTTTTTTTTTCAAATAGAGCCAAGGAAACACTCACATTACATACAGCACGCAATGAAAATTACAATAATATGACAGTGGGTAAATGCATAAAGCACAGCATAATTTGAAATCATGAGTTTAAAGTAAGACTGAACGATTTTGGAAAATAATCTAATTGTAGGGATGTAACGATTCACTCAACTCACGATTCGATTCGATTCACGATTTTGATTTCACGATTCGATTCGGTTCACGATTATTATAATTTTTTTAACAAAATGAGATTTAAGACAAAAGGGGTAATATGATGCTGCTAAAAAGAACATTATTTTGTGTATTTGGTGTAATGAAATGTGTTTATGCGGTTTAAAGTTAAAAAAACACATTATTTTCCACATACTGTACATTATTGTTTCTCCTCTATGCCCCGCCTTCTGAAACGCGTCGATTTTTACAAAGCTCATCGGTCTGAAAAAGCGAGGTGTGCTCTGATTGGCCAGCTATTCAGTGCGTTGTGATTGGCCGAATACCTCAAGCGTGAGACGGAAATGTTACGCCCCTCACATACTGTTGATGCCGAGAAAGTATTATAATGTTTGCCTTTCTATTACTAATAATATTAAAGCAATCGTTATAATACTTTTTTGTATACATTTTAATTTCTTTGTTTAACAGTTCTGATTATTAGATAGACTTATCCATATTAGACAGAACTGAACGACAACAGCGAACAAGAGGGAGAATGTGAGCACTGTGTGTTCAGGCGCAGCCGCTCTCAGCACTGCCAAAATAAAAGTCCCGCCTCGAACACATCGGCCTAACAGAAAAACTTATCGGCCAATGCAGATATTTGAAAAATGCCAAATATCGGCGATATATCGGCATTGGCAATATATCGGCCGAGCACTAAATATTATCCTATAATATGTCACAAAATTCAAATTCTTGCAGCCTACTGCAAGAATTATCTTTGCACAGTCACACGTGCTGTAAGACTAATTGATGTTTAAAAGGCATTTTTATTTAATCTTATCTCAATCTTTAGCTGTGGTGTCTTTTGTGCAAAAAATGAAAGAAAAAGTGCTTCACTCAAGCAGAATGGCAATAAGATCAAAACAATTTACCGTTTTGGTTGTTCTTTTAATGGGGTCATGAAATGGAGAATCAAAATGTTCTTGATAATTACACATATAAGAGGTAACTCTACAATAAAAACATGCTTCATGCTTTAAAACTCAAAACTAACTCCCCTCTGAAATGCCTGGATTTAAAATCGGGAGAATTGTGACATCACGTAATGATTTCCCCTCGACATGCCCCTCATGCATCATCATCATAAGCAATCAAGCAGGTGTAGAAAATGTCAATTTGTATCTAAATTATGACAGTTTTTGATAAAAAAAAAACATACCAAGTGCACCTCAGGAAAAATTATATTTAAAAAATGCATTTCATGACCCCTTTAAACTGATGAGAAAGAGACATGGTCAAAGTTATTAATGTATCGGTGCATGTAACAAAGTGAAACTAGGCCAGAAAAATAAAACTGACAGGGACTGTCTATGCCAGTATTGATACTGAAAGATGCCTACCCATGTGACAAAACACACATGCACTCGATTCTGAGAAACTGAAAGGATAGTTTCCAATAACTCAACACAACAGAGGCCATAACATCAACATAAAGAGACCAAAGCTGAAATGTCTGGGTTGACAGATGACTGAACTCTCCTTCACCAATGCCCTCAACTGTCAGTAGGACATACAGGCCCTATAGCGAGTAGTAAGGACGATAAGGAAAACAGAGTGGCTCTTAGCACAGTCATTCGCCCAGCACATGCTCAGTGAGTGGGGTGACACCTCCGCACACAACTCATTCAAGGTCAGACCAGTAATGCTCCAATCAAAAGTGCAGTAGAATGTCCTTAGAAACCGCTCTGAACCGGTCTGGTGTCAAATGATTCTAACAGATATTGCTTTAGTAAGAGATCAACGACCAAAGCAGATTCTGCCAGCCACATAATTAAGAAGTGAAACAAGGCAAAACACTCAAGTCATGACCAGGTTTGTTGACAAAAGAAAGCAGTCCTTACAGGGCTTGTTGATAGAAAGGTGAGCAGATGGCCAACCGACCATTAAGTGACCACAAAAAGCTTGTTGATGATGCATTCTGCATTTAACACATGAAAACAATGAACGCTCACTAAATTACTCTGACTATTTCAAGACACAAAAGATCTTTATTGCGTCCTGACAGATGAAAATCAGCCGTTTTACTGCATTAAAGATTTCATTTCTGCACTATATCAAAAGTAAAAGCGGCTAAATCATCTCATTATATGAGCACTACTGGGGCTGCATGATTAATCGAATGTGATTGTTATGCGCATCTTGTCAGTAAAGCCGGTTCTGTGATTAGTAGTAAATCTCCAGCACGTGCTTTCAGATGGAGCAGCATTTACTACACAGAGCCGTAGTTCACTGACAAGCTACGCAAAATCGCAGACGATTTAATCGCGCGATTATGAAATCGATGAAATCGTTCTGTGATTATGAAAGCTGTTTGCATAGCTTGTCAGGGAACTACGGCTCTGTGTAGTAAATGCTGCTCCATCTGAAAGCACGTGAAAATACCACATTTAATAACATGTTTTTACTCCAAACTCACATAGCGTCAGTCGAGTGTTTGAAATAAATCCTTCTGTGAGATGTGGCTTCTTACACAGAATAAGGCACGCAACATATTTCATAGCATTCTAAGCAGTGATAAAGGCTATGTCGATTAGCATTGCATTATTATATACTTTACTATAATAAAAATTATAATAAGACGAACTCAGATAAACCATATATTGTCGTAGTCGTGTGTCGAGAGCGCCCTCTGGCCTTCGGATGGAGATTTACTGCTGATCACAGAACCGTGCTTCATTGAAAGATACGCATGAAAATCGCAGCTTCTGCCTAATCGCGATTTATCGCCTTTGCAATTTAATTTCCATAGAAGAAATGAAATGAGATTTAGAATGACATGGGGGTGAGTAAATGACAGAATTTTTATTCATGGTTGAACCATCCCTTTAAGACACTCAAATTAACAGCAGACATTCATAACTAAGCCAGGTTTGTTGACTACAGCTAAATGGGTGTTTACTGAAAATAAATATGCCCATGCATGACTCAAAATATACATAAAAAATAGGCTATTTGGAGAACATTCACTAATGAGACACTGAGAAGACAATTTTGGATTGTGGAGTGGAGTTATTTTGTACAGGTAGACAAATTAAAAGGGATAGTTAACCCAAAAAGGAAAAAAAACTGTCATCATTTACTCACCTTTATGTTGTTTCAAACATGACTTACTTTCTTCTGTGGAACATAAAATAAGATATGTGTAGAAATGTCTCAGGGTGTTTTTAGTTCATACACTGGAAGTCAATGGTCACCAAAACTATTTAGTTACCAACACTCTTCATTACCTTCAACACCTACCAACAAACCTTTGGTTGCATTTCACAGAAAAAAGAAAAGAGAAGTTCAGGTTTGTAACCACATGAGGGTGAGTAAATGATGAGACTGAGAGAATGTAAAAATGTAATAAAACAACCCAGTGGAAAGTAAGAATAAAAGCACTTTTCAAACTCAACAGTTGTTTGTGAGGGTGAACTTTTGCACCAATGGCAAATTATATAATTGTGTCCAGACAGCAAGTTCGGAATTGCCAAGTTGCTGTTCAGTAAAACTCACAGAACTGACAACACTTACATGGGAAACAAACACCCTAGTACTTGTATTACAGTCACATTACATGACAGAACTGTGAGAATGATCAAGCATTTTAGATGACACTGAGCAAAACAATACACTAAAACATAGTAAACACTACGACATACTGAAATGATCAGTTGAAAATTCTATCCAAAACCACGTGATCATTGACAGTGACAAAGGCAAAAAAATGACATCAGATTATATGGAAGCATAATCTCTCTATGAATTTATGGGAAGGACAAGCACCAAGCTAGTTCCTTTTTTCATGGCAAGGAGCAACATCACTGATAGAACCTAAAGCAGTGATATGGCTAGGAGCAACCTGTAGTAAACAGCCTGTTTACCTTGATATATCCTTCATGAACTGCTAATGGCTCTATGAAACAGATGTCTGAGGGATGTGGGGGGCTCTTATAAACTTCACCACTAAGATTTGCCACCTCGTTATTATTGGCCCAAAGAAATTGATCCATTACCTTCAGCGATCAGCTCTTCCACCGTCACTTGGTATCGACCGACAGCAAACACCTTTCCGATGTAGTTGCTGCTTCCAGTACCAGATCCAGACCCACCCCCGAGACTTCCGCTCTCTGACTTCGGCATACGCGAAAACTTCTTCATTCTTGCCTCTTGTGTTCCCGCCTTCCCCAACCGGACAGTTCCAAACAAGCTTAAACGCTCAAAAATCCAACCTGCTCATCTCCGCTCTTTTGTCCAGCATGCTGAGAGAGCTGCTCTCCCGAGATGCGCCAGGCACTTCAGTGCTTGAGGGACGCAGAAAGGCGTAGCTGAATGCTTCCTTATTTCCCCCCAAAGCCAGAGGAAGCAACTGCATAGAAGTAAACCGTCAGGGCAGCGTTTTGTCGTTAATGCGTGGTAACCACACGAATGAGACCGTCCACGCCGCTGTATTTTCAGGCCGACTCGTTTCGGCTGGCTAGCGAGCCTGTACGGGCGCTGGAGTGACCATTCGCCTCGCTAGCTGGCTAACAACGGCGAAACGCTCTGTTTAGCAAAAGCATGCTTTTGTGTTCGGCGAAAAGCCGAAGTTGGTTGAAGTCCAGGTTATTTGAAACCAACGTGAACAACAAACAGGCAGAAAGTGGGTGTGTTAGGCGGAAGCTACGCTAGCGAAACTCTGGCTAAACGATGACTGCTGCCACTTCCCCTTCGGATAGTTTAGTTAGCCAGCTCGCTAGCTGACTCTTCCTCTATCTGATTGAAGAGGACCCCGTGTATCATAGTAAAATGTGTCACTACAAAAAAATAAACCAGAAATCTTCCGAGCGGCCGGTGATGCGCGAACAGCGTCGGTTATTTTTTTGAAACTGCAGAGCGCTTCCTCGTGCTCTGGAAGTCCCCCGTCACAATGATAAAGTTCGAACTCTCGTGACTCGCCGTAGAATTGGTGGGAGGTTTGTCTGACAACCTAACTTTGGTTTTGTCCGATTCCTTCCCATTGTCATGATTGGTGTGAGCGAGATGCGTCCTGTAGATACTCTTCTCTGATGGGATGAAATGGATGACTGTCTCTCAGCGTTTTGTTTAGCAGTTTGCTTGATAAAGATCTTAACCAATGTGTTAGTCAGTTGAAAGAAGTGAATGGATTGTTTGGGAGTGTGAAATGCTTAAGAAGTGCAACTGGCACGTTCCACGAATACGGCACACCTTCGTGTCGCATGGTTTTTAAGCCCCAGAGGCACGAATCCAATGTTTTTGTTGTGAGAATTATTGGATAAACTATTTAACATAACATTAACTTAACTTGAAAAGTAACGTGCCTTTAAGATTGGGATTAAATAGACTAATAAACTAATTTTTATTAGTAATATGTATTACAATAGTGTAACATTCTATTTATTTATTTATGTGCTGTTTAAAGGGTTCATTATGTGGACCCTTTGTACAGCATGGTAGGGTGACAATCTCATTTTCTCAATTATTAAACAAATTGTGGTGTTGACTATATTTAGTTCAACCACACAACAAACATTTTTCAGTGTATGGGAAATATGAGATTATAACTACAAGCCATCATTTGCCAGTTTCTACTGATGTTATTTAGTCATTATTTTATTTACTGATGTTATTTATTTTGATGTTGTTTATTGGTGTTATTAATTTTCAACCCTGTTACATTCATATTTATTTAATACATGTCTGTTCGATTTGGATTGTTATTTAATGTTTATTATTGGAAAATAACAAAATTACAGACTAGAGACCTCAACATTTAACCACCTCATTTAAATTTGTCAAAGTTTCAGGCCATATTTTGAACCCTATTCAATGTTTTGCATAGTAAATTGCCTAGTTGATATTATATTCTCTCTGAAGTACAAAACAGTGAATTACATATAATAATAAAAGAAAATATTCAGCATCTACTTGATATTGTTTTCGTCTTCAACTTATTTTTCAAATACGTTTTTGGAAAAAACTGTTTTAATTTGAGATTTCCTTTGTACTCTACATTTATCTTCCAATAAATTTCAAACATGACACTCATAATTTAATTTATGTGCAATCAGGACACAGATTCAGCACATATAATGTTGACAGAGATGACATCAGATTGAGACAATGACAGTCATGTGATGTTAACCAGTCTGGGTGGACAACACAAGACCCTCTGAGGGTCCTCAGGTACATCTGCTCAATTCATGAAAATGTCCTGCCCTCTAATGGTCAAACCCTGCAAAATGAGCAGGTGCCTTCTTATCCCAGGAAATAAGTGTAGATATTGTCTATGTAAGCGTGTATTAATATATGCAATTCAACATATGAAAAATTACTAACTTATGCTCAGTTAATTGCAGAAGAAGCGCAAGAAAATCATGACCTGTTTAAATTGTGATATCCAGAAAAGAAAAACATCAAGGGCTTTTAAAAGCAAATGTACATAATGCTTGTACAAATGTGACAGCTGTCTGATAATAGCTACAGATGTAGGTCGATGGAGAAACAGAGGACTGAACTGGAGTCTGGGATTATTACATGGGATTAATGAGGATCTTCTGTTCCCTCAGGCGCTTCTCCACCTCAATACAGATCAACTCCCCTGACTGTGCAAAGTTTCATCAGCAGCAGCTCCCTAAACAGATGACTCAACGCTGTGTACATCACAAGAATGCCCAGATATCCTGGTTATCTTTATCATAATGTGTGAAGTTATGATTTGTATATATATTTTTTCCAAACAAGGCATATACTACGCCTTGTTGGCTGTTATATAACACTTTTGGGAGCTGTGATTTTGCATATTTATTATCATATTTCTAATTAAAAGTAGAATATATTGTCATATTTATTCAATTAACCCAGGTTCAAATTATTATTTTTTTTACCAAAAGTAAGGAAAATCTGGCTACAATTTAATCTAAAATGTGCAATTAAAGGGGGTAAAGGTCAGAATAAACAGCTCAAGCAGGAACCATATGGACAGAGTAAAGGCTTTTTAGAAGGTGAAAATTAAAGCAAAAAGGCTACTGGAGTCTCACAGACTCAGTACGTTTTTCTTAATCACATTTACATCTGGCAAACTGCCATCAATACTGAGATCATTAAAGTGCGGCAGGTAAATTCAATTAAATGACAGAGGCAGAAACAGACATGGAAAGAACAGATTGACATTTAAGCCAATGATTAAGAAATCAATAAGTGGATTTTTACTATATTATTTTGCCCAGACAACATGTAAAAACACTTTGCTGATCCACATAATATCTGAAGGACAAAATGACAAAAAGGTAATATGCTGAAATATATTTTTCATTTGAATAAACTAATTGAAATGCAGGAATATTCATAGCTGATACTGATTTATCAGAATTGCAACATTGAAATTTTCTAAATCATGTTGTCTATTAGTTTTTTTACTTGCCATTAAAGCCTTATGAGTAATTTAGTAATTTAGCTTTAAAAAATCTATTACATTTACATTTATTCATTTAGCAGACATCGGATTGACCCACCGCAAAATAACTAAACAAGACATCTTTAGTAGCATTTCTGGGTTAGTCTTCTCCTCCACAAATCACATTCAAGCAATCACCGTAGTTGCCAGACACATCAGACTGAAATAAAAAAGAGCAAAGTCACTTATCATAACATCAAATACAAAACTCTTAGTCATCATCAAAAATTTGTTTCATTTGCATGGAATATAGTGACACAGATGAGAAAAAAGCCTTTTGGCCATGAAACAATCATGATCATGATCATGGAACAATCCATGATTAAACTAATAAACCTGAGGATCAGGAAGTGATGTACTACTGGCCTCAAACATAATTTAAAGAATAATGGCAGATGGCCTGAACCTGTGTTAAAGTGTTTACATCAGTGGAGAATACTTACACTTATTTCCTTGAAGAGTGAATTCTGATAGAGCTTCTTGAATTCAGCTCTGATGTCCAGCATGTCAATCTCTCCACGGCTGACCATTACTCTGGTCAGAGTGGTTTCATCTGTACGCAAGAAAATCATGACCTGTTTAAATTGTGATATCCAGAAAAGAAAAACATCAAGGGCTTTTAAAAGCAAATGTACATAATGCTTGTACAAATGTGACAGCTGTCTGATAATAGCTACAGATGTAGGTCGATGGAGAAACAGAGGACTGAACTGGAGTCTGGGATTATTACATGGGATTAATGAGGATCTTCTGTTCCCTCAGGCGCTTCTCCACCTCAATACAGATCAACTCCCCTGACTGTGCAAAGTTTCATCAGCAGCAGCTCCCTAAACAGATGACTCAACGCTGTGTACATCACAAGAATGCCCAGATATCCTGGTTATCTTTATCATAATGTGTGAAGTTATGATTTGTATATATATTTTTTCCAAACAAGGCATATACTACGCCTTGTTGGCTGTTATATAACACTTTTGGGAGCTGTGATTTTGCATATTATCATATTTCTAATTAAAAGTAGAATATATTGTCATATTTATTCAATTAACCCAGGTTCAAATTATTTTTTTTTTTACCAAAAGTAAGGAAAATCTGGCTACAATTTAATCTAAAATGTGCAATTAAAGGGGGTAAAGGTCAGAATAAACAGCTCAAGCAGGAACCATATGGACAGAGTAAAGGCTTTTTAGAAGGTGAAAATTAAAGCAAAAAGGCTACTGGAGTCTCACAGACTCAGTACGTTTTTCTTAATCACATTTACATCTGGCAAACTGCCATCAATACTGAGATCATTAAAGTGCGGCAGGTAAATTCAATTAAATGACAGAGGCAGAAACAGACATGGAAAGAACAGATTGACATTTAAGCCAATGATTAAGAAATCAATAAGTGGATTTTTACTATATTATTTTGCCCAGACAACATGTAAAAACACTTTGCTGATCCACATAATATCTGAAGGACAAAATGACAAAAAGGTAATATGCTGAAATATATTTTTCATTTGAATAAACTAATTGAAATGCAGGAATATTCATAGCTGATACTGATTTATCAGAATTGCAACATTGAAATTTTCTAAATCATGTTGTCTATTAGTTTTTTTACTTGCCATTAAAGCCTTATGAGTAATTTAGTAATTTAGCTTTAAAAAATCTATTACATTTACATTTATTCATTTAGCAGACATCGGATTGACCCACCGCAAAATAACTAAACAAGACATCTTTAGTAGCATTTCTGGGTTAGTCTTCTCCTCCACAAATCACATTCAAGCAATCACCGTAGTTGCCAGACACATCAGACTGAAATAAAAAAGAGCAAAGTCACTTATCATAACATCAAATACAAAACTCTTAGTCATCATCAAAAATTTGTTTCATTTGCATGGAATATAGTGACACAGATGAGAAAAAAGCCTTTTGGCCATGAAACAATCATGATCATGATCATGGAACAATCCATGATTAAACTAATAAACCTGAGGATCAGGAAGTGATGTACTACTGGCCTCAAACATAATTTAAAGAATAATGGCAGATGGCCTGAACCTGTGTTAAAGTGTTTACATCAGTGGAGAATACTTACACTTATTTCCTTGAAGAGTGAATTCTGATAGAGCTTCTTGAATTCAGCTCTGATGTCCAGCATGTCAATCTCTCCACGGCTGACCATTACTCTGGTCAGAGTGGTTTCATCTGTACCTGCTCCCTGCAGGTTCACAAATAAACGTCAGTGTTGGACAAACTCAGTGACAGACAATAATGTGTTTCTATCTGTACCTTCATGCTTTTGTAGACTTTTTCAGCAAAGTATGCAGAAGTACTCATCACACACTTTACTAGAAGAAAAAAACGTGTATTTGATTACAAAATATGTAGAGGTAAAAAAAAATAATGTTTCAAATACCAAATAATTACTGTGTATTTTAATTAATTATTAAACATTTACCAATGTCAACCAGCAGTTCCTCCAAGTTTCCAGACATTTCCTTCTCAATGCTCTTCTGCAAAGTCTTGCCACTGATGTTTTTATATTCCAGTATTGCTGTAACAGGACATGCCAAATTATATTCAAAACACACCTGCCATTTCAGTTCCTATGCAAAACGTTTGTGTTTATTTGGATGATTAAGTTGGTACTTTGTCTCAGGTGAGGGATGCTCCTTTTACAGAGGATCTCAATGAACTTGGACTCATCAGTTCCCAGTTTCTTCTCGCCTGCATGATAGAGAGCCTATGGAGGAAACAGAGAACATGTAGATGCTCACATCTAATCATATAAATAACATATTCTTTGATACAGCCTTTTGAAACGAGTTTTCTATACCTTTGCATCCTCTCTAGCCTTGTCTGCATTCACATTGGTGCTTTCATCCCTCGTACCCTTATAATGAGTGAGAAATATCATTACTTTCCAGAGCTGCCTTTATTACAACAGACTGCAATACATGTGTATTTAATCACCTCAGCAAGCAGAAGGATGGCTTTGCCAAAATCCCCTGAAACTTCTGTCTTTAGGTTCTGTATCAGCGTTTTCTTTGTTTCTATTGGGCAAAGGGAAGGGAAGCAATTATAACAAGTTTTTGTAAATTACATATTTTGTTACAATAGATTCCTCATCTCACCCTCAGCGTATGCGGCAGACAGTTCCTTGATCTGTTTATTTGTCCGTGAGGCAAGTGTTTCTATCAGGATGCTGTTGTCTGTCCCAGTCCCCTGAAAACCAACCAATGAATGTATTAGGAAAACAATGAAAAATATGCACAAACACTGGTAAACAACATGCAAAATATGTTCACACAGATAATCCTGAAATTTGTCTGAGATCATTGCTAAATGCATCCATTTTTTCAACATTTAAAATGAAAAATTAGGAAATGCAACTTACTTTCATTGCTTTAATTAGCCATTTAGCATCATTGACTGCAGGCGGTCTTGCGAGCGCAACAAGCAGATTTTCAAAGTTGCCCTGAGTGTCGCCTTTCAAGTCATTTACAAGAATCTTTGGTCAAGACAAACAAATTAGGCAGATTTTCATCATATAACATTGCACACACATTCAAATGTATATGAGCAGGAGGACACCGATTTACCCTATTTGTGGTTTCTTCATATGCCTTTGAAATAGCCTGCTTCTGACTGCTGCTCCTGTGAGTCAGTATGTCTATCAATGTCTTCTCAGTTGTACCTGGTACAGTATATACTCAGAATACACATATTACATAATACATACATAATACACTACAGATAGGTTATGTACCTATGCCTTCAATTGCTTTACGGAGAGCTGCAACATCTTCACTGACATTGAAGTTAGCTTTGGCTTTAATGGTGCCTCTCTCCCCTGGCTGAAGAAGAATGAGCAGTCAATCAACCAGCCAACCAAATCAATCAATCAGTATTACAAAAATGTTAAAAGTGTGAGACAAGACAACTAATCCCAGTCCAGTCTCTCCTAAGTGTATTAAATAAGAACCGATTATACACACATATTTAGGTGTGTGTGTGTATAAAATACATACATACATAATATATATATATATATATATATATGTGTGTGTGTGTGTGTGTGTATGTATCTAATAAAATAAAACAATCTTTGACGCTGATACAGGTGAACAGGTTTTGGCTTGCTGTCTATGATGAAGGGATTAATTATAGAAACTAAAAGGACAAAATGGAAAAAAGGATAAACAACATACAGTATACTGTATTTCCATGCCACAGAATATATGTAACCCCTCTCCCCCGGGTCCTCACCGCCACACCTCGTTCTCGCTCCGAGTGGGTCTCGAACCCGGGTCTCCGAGCTAAAGACTGCAGCCACTAGCGTCAGTCGCTAGTGCATCTCTTGAGATCAGGGGAGTGAGGTTTACCTGCACAGCACCTACTCGCTGGCCTCCGTTACACTCACCCCCCTAAACCTCACTCCCATCCGGGTCACGGCACCAATGTAACCCCTCTCCCCCGGGTCCTCACCACCACACCTCGTTCTCGCTCCGAGTGGGTCTTGAACCCGGGTCTCCGGCATGGGAGGCGGACGCACTAACTAGGAGGCTAAAGACTATAGATATATATATATATACATACAGGGGCGTCATGCATTCATGATTTTGAGGGGGCACGAGTGGGGGGGGTGCCTTCGGAGGCAGCATTTCAAGGCATCAAGGCACGTCCGAATCAAGCGGCAACCTCCCGCTCTCTCTCGAACCTACGGGTGACGTCACGGACACTACGTCCATGTTTTTATACAGTCTATGGTCCGAATACAAATTCTGCTTTACTTCCTGTCTCCGGAGGTACCGTCTTCTGATCCAAAAACACTGCCTGCAAAGTCAATGCCTCATAAGGCAGCAAGTCAGCTGCCTAGGCTTTTGGACGCAGCCCGCGTTTCAGCGATGACTCATCTGAACGCCTCTCTCTGATTGGCTATTGCATTCATAAGCTCAACAGAATCGTGCGTGATTGGCATGTGCTTTTTTTACTTTAAACCGCATAAACACATTTCATTACACCAAATACACAAAATAATGTTCTTTTTAGCAGCATCATATGACCCCTTTAAGCAGCTGATGATGTGCCGCACTGAACGATTTAATCACACCGGTGTGATTGTATCAGATATTTAAAAAAAGATATTATTAGGCTATTTTTTGTCTTTTGGAAGCTGCATTCAAAAACCACTTGGCTCAGAAATCTGAGGGGGCACGTGCCCCCTCAATTTGAATGGGCATGACGCCTCTGCTTATATATAATATATATATAATGTGTGTGTGTAGGCCTATATAAGTATAACAAAATAGTTTGTTTACCGCTGCTGTGAATGCAGCAGGAGCAGCATTCGCAACACTTTGTAAGTCTTCCTGCAACACAAGAAATTAAATAAATAATAAACGCTCTTCAAATTTATACTCCTCACTTAAGCAACAGAGATGACTGAATGTAGATTTAAGATTTACTTACCCACAAGTCCGACATTTTTGATGGATTCTACTGTGATAAACAATTCATTAATTTACAGATCAGAATGCATAAGGTAGCCTACATTGTTTTTCATTTTCACTCTTTTTATATGCACAAAAAGGTAAACGTCTCGCCCTCAGAAACAGATTTTAAAGACTCAGCGATATCAGTAAAATAAGCTTTGACAAAAACACGTATAATTATCGCGACTCCTGATCGACTGCAGCAATCACATTACCGCCTTCTGTATCTACTTACTTCGAATGTATATCAAAAGCAAATGTAAAGTTATGTTAATCAAACTTAGACTTTGCTTTGAAAGTGCTACCTAGTTTGCGCTTACCTGTGTGATACGAATCAACACTGAACGTGCCTCCTCCTGTCCGGTTTAACTTCTCCTCTTCACCTACTTCCTCAGGGCGTGTGACGCGATGTATCATTTTCACAGAAGACATGCATTCTTACTGAGCCTTTACTTTCATGAACACCCAACGCGCTGCTATGATTTACCATTTAGGAAAATTGCTCCTTATTTTCCTAATATTTTGTAGCGATCATTTAACCCCAATCAAGGCCGTATCAGCTTTTAATATATAGAACATCCAAAACACACTAAAATGACTGATGGTAGCCGGTTGTAACGCATAACATTCACGTGGTTTCAGGTTTTCTGGCAATAAACAAGATATTGCACACAAACTCAAGTCTCCTTCACAATTTTAGAAATTGGGTAAAATTAAGCTGATGATAGATTAAATAATCATACATTAAATATGAGCACAGTGTGCGTTCCACATATTAGGTATAGCTATGTTTATTAATTTATTTCATTGTTAAAAGGTACAAATACAGGCATCATGTTGATTATTTTATCATAAATGATAGCACCAAAAACACATTTGAAAAACTTTTGAAACTTTTTTGCGAAAAGGGTTTGAGACTTAATAAAATAGCAATTTTTGTTATCACAAAAAGTGATAACACATCACTTTTTGATAAGTGTTAAAATAACAAATCCTTTGGCATTTCAATAGAGTCACCAGACTGACAGCAAATCTGTAGTGGTAGAGTTTCCAGTCTATTAAAACATGCTGCTGATGCACATAATGTATGAAGGACAAAAATGAAAAGGTTTTTTAATCTCAAAAAAATGAAAACTTCTAGAACAAAAGGATGGAATTTCATAAAATATGCATATTTTAGTTTCTAATTTTAACATTCATGATTTCGTCAGCACAATTTTAATGTTTCATGTTGTCAAGTAACTATTAAAGTCATGCCTGCTGTTGCCAGGCGCCATTCACTACCAAAAAGTCTTATGATCAGTTATGATCTAGACAAAAAACAAAAGTATATTTTTAATATCATAAATTATAATAAATCTCACTCTATACCTTTATTTGCAGTAAACTGTAAATATAAGTTATATATTTCCTAAGACAGCTGGAAAAATGCTATTAAAGAAACCATTTTATGAAGCATCTCAAGTCTTTTGTAAACAGGCTAGTCTTCTCCACAAATCATCTTCAAGGAGTCACTATAGCTGCCAGATACATCTGACTGAAATGAAGAACAGCAAAATCACCCATAGTCACACATAATCACAGAGACCATCAGTACAGACTGTATCACAACATCAGATACAAGAACAAAGAGTGAAACTCTCAACCATCACCAGTAAATGAGTTTCATTTGCATGGAATATAGTATCATATAGGACAATATAGGAAAACAGTGACACAGATGAGAAAAGAGTGTTTTGGTCATTGTCAGATATGAGGAATGGACTATGTCAAATCATCATTTGTGAAGGTTATGATATCTTGAGGGTATGATTAAACTTATAAACCTGAGGATCAGGAAGTGATGTACTACTGGCCTCAAGCATAATTAAAGAATAATGGCAGATGGCCTGAACCTGTGTTAAAGTGTTTACATCAGTGGAGAATACTTACACTTATTTCCTTGAAGAGTGAATTCTGATAGAGCTTCTTGAATTCAGCTCTGATGTCCAGCATGTCAATCTCTCCACGGCTGACCATTACTCTGGTCAGAGTGGTTTCATCTGTACCTGCTCCCTGCAGGTTCACAAATAAACGTCAGTGTTGGACAAACTCAGTGACAGACAATAATGTGTTTCTATCTGTACCTTCATGCTTTTGTAGACTTTTTCAGCAAAGTATGCAGGAGTACTCATCACACACTTTACTAGAAGAAAAAAAACGTGTATTTGATTACAAAATGTAGAAGTAAATAATTTTGCATCAAATTCTAAGTGATTGTTGTCTGTATTTGCATTTAGAATGTATAAATACAAATTGACAGTACCAATGGCAACCAGCAGTTCCTCCAGATCTCCAGATATCTCCTTCTCAATGCTCTTCTGCAAAGTCTTGCCACTGATGTTTTTATATTCCAATATTGCTGCAACAGGACATGCCAAATTATATTCAAAACACACCTGCCATTTCAGTTCCTGTGTGAAACATTTTACATTTATTTGGATGATTATAGATTATTTATTTGGCTGATTAAGTTTGTACTTTGTCTCAGGTGAGGGATGCTCCTTTTACAGAGGATCTCAATGAACTTGGACTCATCAGTTCCCAGTTTCTTCTCGCCTGCATGATAGAGAGCCTATGGAGGAAACAGAGAACATGTAGATGCTCACATCTAATCATATAAATAACATATTCTTTGATACAGCCTTTTGAAACGAGTTTTCTATACCTTTGCATCCTCTCTAGCCTTGTCTGCATTCACATTGGTGCTTTCATCCCTCGCACCCTTATAATGAGTGAGAAATATCATTACTTTCCAGAGCTGCCTTTATTACAATAGACTGCAATACATGTGTATTTAATCACCTCAGCAAGCAGTAGGATGGCTTTGCCAAAATCCCCTGAAACTTCTGTCTTTAGCTTCTGTATCAGCGTTTTCTTTGTTTCTTTTGGGCAAAGGGAAGGGAAGCAATTATACATTTTTGTAACTTTCATATTTTGCTACAATAGATTCCTCATCTCACCCTCAGCGTATGCGGCAGACAGTTCCTTGATCTGTTTATTTGTCCGTGAGGCAAGTATTTCTATCAGGATGTTGTTGTCCGTCCCAGCCCCCTGAAAACCAACCCATGAATGTCATGAAAAAAAGAAAGAAAAATCTGCCTCACATTGGTTCAGAATATTCAAATTGCTCACATGAATAGCTGAAGTTTGACTCAGAACACTGTACAGGGAGAAACATTTTACATTCTTCACAAGGGAAAATTAGGAAATATAACTTACTTTGATTGCTTCAATTAGCCATTTAGCATCATTGACAGCAGGCGGTCTTGCGAGCGCAACAAGCAGGTCCTCCAAGCTGCCCTGGGTGTCGCCTTTCAGGTCATTAACAAGAATCTAAACAAAGAAATTAGGCAGATTTTCATGTGAATACAAAAACACACACATTCAAATGATCATGAGAAAGAGGTCACAGATTTACCCTATTTGTGGTTTCTAGGTATGCCTTTGAAATGGCCTGCTTCTGACTGCTGCTCCTGTGAGTCAGTATGTCTATCAATGTCTTCTCAGTTGTACCTGGTAAGTGAAATTACTGTAGTTTGATGGAACATACAATATGTGAAGTGAATGCAACAAGGAGAATACAGGAATATATTACATGTACAATACAATACAGATATGTAAATTATGTACCTATGCCTTCAATTGCTTTACGGAGAGCTGCAACATCTTCACTGACGTTGAAGTTAGCTTTGGCTTTAATGGTGCCTCTCTCTCCTGGCTGAAGAAGAATGAGCAAAAAATGTAAATGCTTAAGTATTTGAAACTAGTTGTCACACTGGGAATTTATCACAAGGGCTGTATCTCAATAATTATATGGTTTTAAGTCAAAAGTCCTCTTACAAGTCAAGTACTTCTTTATTTACTCTAGCAATTTTAAATGTTACTGATTAAACTTAATGTTTACTTTTTTACAGTTGTCTAAAAGATGTCTCTCATGCTCAAGAAGGCTGCTTATATAGGCTGTTTAATGGCAAGTTCCATTAGGACAACACGTATCCAATTCTTCTTGGTTTGTAAGTAAATTACTTTGAAAATATAAAGTATTCAAGTGGTGGTCAAACGCAAATGTATTAAATATTAAATTATACATACAACCAAAATGCATTAAAACAAGTGATTTACCGCTGCTGTGGAAGAAGAGGGGGCACGAGCAAAATTCTCCAGGTCATCCTGCAATACAGGAAATTAAATCTCAGCAAATTTGGTTTCAGTAATATTCTTCAATATCCCTTTCAGGGGGTGCATACGTTTGCAAAATTGTACTCACCCATAAGTCTGACATTTTTGATTGGGAGGATTCTATAAACAAACACAATCACAGTTCAGATTCGATTCAGTTCATCGATTACTAATGCATAATCTTTGCGGTTACACAGTCATGCATTTACATTTACTTTTCTTGCTTTCACTTTATTCACAAAAAAAAACCAACAAAAAAAAGTTAATGACTTCCCTCCAAAAATAGTTGAAAAAATCAGTTTAAAGCACTTCTCTGCCTTTAAAATATGCTGGTCATCAATTGTATACCCAATGCACAAGTTAAGTTAATTAAACGAACATTTATAATTAGCACTCATTAATAACTAGTACCTACGGTTTTTGTATACTTTTAAAAGTCTTAACTCTTACCTTCGCGATACAAAGTAATAGACGACGTGGCTCTCTCTCCGGTTTAACTTCTCACCACCTGCTTTTTCAGGGCGTGAGAGACATGATGTTACGATCTCTAAAGGAATGCATTCTTACGGAGCCTCTCCCTTCTGGAAAAACAAGCTGCTATTCACATTCTACATAATTCAAAAGTAAAATGTACTTATTTTGTTCTTCCAAAACAATTTTATTACCATTACAACTAGGCTACTATTATTGTAACACATAACCATCATGTGAGGTGAAGTTATTTCACCTCACATACATTAAATTTGAACAAAGAGTGTCACGCGTTAGGAATAGGTTTATTCATTTTATTGCTAGAAAGGCACAAGTACAGGCATCATGTTATTTTACCATAAATGATAGCACCAAAATCGGATATATCCAAAAATGTTCTGTTTGATAGGCACTCACTCAGACTCTTAGACTGATCATGAAGTAATAATCTTAGCTTTTCCCACCCTACACCCAGTGCTTTAAAGATTCTGGATATTCTTGATCAAATCAGCACCATGTAACAAGTGATGACTTGATACAACATTACAGAACATTTGAGTAAATAAATGATAGAAACTATAGATGTGCCTTACTTAATACATGATGTGACATTAATACAAGACTAAATGCAGGATAACATGAGGTGGATAATCTTAAAAAAAAAAATCCATGTGAAGATTTTTGGTAGTGTTTGGTTATATCAGTATAGACAGCAGTCATATAAAACAAAAATACATTTTGTTGTCCAGTGTTGTAAAATAATAGAGGTTACAGCATTTCAATGGAGTCAGTAGAGTGATAACAAATCAATAGTGGTTATCAAATCTATTTTCATACAATTTCTCATTTACATGTACCAACTACTTACATGAACTGACGAATGCATCACTTTGGGCAGTCTATTCGGATTTGGAATTAAATAAATCGCACTTGGACATTCTAATTTATTGAGATGCACCTGTATCAGCATGGCACACCGGTGGTCAGGCCAAAAGTAAATTACACAATGAGGCAGAGCATCAAAAGCCAAATTAAAATACTGGGATGACCATGTCATCCAATAATTGCACTTAATAAACGTATTTACATCACTCACCCTGTCCAAAGTGTTGGCACTCATCCTTCCTTTAATACTTTCATGTGTTTTTACTGACATGACAAAACAGCAGGTGCAGCGATACAAACTCTCCATCCATTTAAACAAAGTGGCTGAGCTACCACTGAGCCATTATATGATTCTTAGACAGAGCTATGATTTAAAACTGAGATTTGAAACATAAGATCTGATGACCCCATTATGTGTTGCTCATTAATGTTTGAGGTAGCTCAGTTGTGAAATGATTTACACTGCATAGCTGGCAAGCATACTTTCCCTTTTATCCTCATGGTCATACAAAAATACATTAACGTCATTACAAATATTCATAGAAAATGTTTCTTTTTCTCATTAAATACTCTAGAAGGTCAGACTTCAGTGCCGTCATTCAGGTTGTTGTGTAGTTTGACCTCCAGATTGACCTGTTTGACCTTGACCCCATTGATCTTGTAGGTCTCTGGGTTCTTGTTGAGGACATTGACATTTCTTACAGAGCAGTGCTTGCTGTTGAGGTTTTTCTCCAGACGTTCTATACAGAGCTCCACCTTTGTGTTCAGAGGATAATCCTCCACTGCCTTCGTAGGCCTCTTTTTTACAACCCTGCGGCACTTTCTGACCATGAAGCAGAAGGCTAGAAGGACCAGGAGAAGTAGGACGATGGCTGCCATGCCACCCCCAATGGATCCTCCCATCTGGGGATTGAAGGTGCCCGATGGTTCCACCTCAAGCTTCAAGGTCTTCATGTTGGTGCCATTCTTTACCTGGTCACCTTCATTGTCGTAGATCAGTGATTCATCCAGCATTAGATGACCTGAACGGTCCACCAGATCTCGGCGACTTCGCTTGAGCTCATAGGTCACTGAGCGCTGGATTCTGGGAGCAGATATGGACTCCGGTCCAATAACGTAGATGACCTGGATGTACCATTGGTGCCCTGCCTCAACCTAAAGAAGAGTAAATGCTTATATGATTATAACCCCAATAAAAAAATACCCTCCCCTTTATATATATTATAACCCCTTTTTAATCTTGTCCTTTAGCCCAGTTCCCTATAGTCATGGCACACTGTCAGCCCGGCATCTTTTCCTAAACAAACAGATCAAGGCACTTCCCTGAAGGGTACAACTGAATAGCTTCAGCTTTGACATTTTGCCAGGATTTCTAGTATGTGTCAAACAGAAGGTCTGTTTAACAACTTGACTTCGCCCGGCATCTTTTCCTAAACAAACAGATCAAGGCACTTCCCTGAAGGGTACAACTGAATAGCTTCAGCTTTTGACATTTTGCCAGGATTTCTAGTATGTGTCAAACAGAAGGTCTGTTTAATAACTTGACTTTTTGGTGAATCTTGCAGCCACTGACCTTATAAAGGGCATCCACCTTCATTGTGAAACCGTCTACACCTGGCATCGCAGACAAGGACTGGAGATCAGGAATGTCAGATGCAAAGTTGGCTTCAAATGGAACATCATGGAAGTAGCGGTCACAGACATCAGGCTGCTTCCGGTCCTGTGTGATACATTATTTACAATTATTACCCAGTTCTCTGGAATACTTAAATCTGATTGGTTAATCACAGCATCCTGTGATCTATTATTTGCACTGAATTTGTGCAATATTTGTACTGTAAATTACCTCAGAGGACTCGTGTTAATAGTATTGTAATACTGATGGTGTTTGTCTTGGTCAACTGTCTTTCTTATAGGAAGCTTTAAGATAATATACTTCACCGTTCAAAAGTTTGGGGTCAATACAATTTTATAACAAAACAACAATTAAATAACAAAACATTTCTATTTCAAATAAATGTTGTTCTTTTGAACTTTCTGTTCATGAAGTAATCCTGAAAAAAATGTATCATAGTTTCCAAAAAATATTAAGCAGCACACTGTTTTCAACATTGATATTAATAAGAAATGTTTCCTGAGCACCAAAATCAGCATATTAGAATGATTTCTGAAGGATTATGACACTGAAGACTGGAGAAATGGCTGTCAAATCATTAGAGCTGTCAGTCTCAATATTAGTTCCAAGATATACAAAAAAAGTTTGATCTTCAAAATAGCCATTGAAAATTTCCATCCACTATCAGTTAAAATTTAACCACACCAAATGAATCTTGCTAGACTGGTTAAACTGGTCTGGACTTGTTACAATAGACACCTACCAGAAGCAGGAACCTGTGTTTGAGGTGCTTGTTCGGTTGAATGCAGCCATACTGAGGGCCTTCGTTATACAGGGTGCCTGTGGGGTCGAAGAAGGGTACATAGCCATCCCGCCCTGTACACAAATATACTTTCTCCAGCTGCAGCTTGTAGGCCGAATTCAAGTTCTGGTCGGGATTCCACAACACTCTGCCATACAGCGTTTGACCTGCATAATGTCAAACAATGAATGAGTGAAAGCATAATAGTGGAGGGAGCTCACTGTTTTCATTACTTTGCTAATTTTACCCATCGAAAAGGCTCCTTTATAGTCCATCTCAGCAACAGACATGTCTGCGAGAGCAGGATCCATTAGAAAGACTTTTTCATTATTACAAAGCTGGAACTCAGTATTCAGGGAGTAGACTACAGGAACAGGGCGGTTCGTCTGCTGGAAGGCGATGGGCAGCAGAAATCTACCGATTGAAAGAGAGTGTTACAAGCCCTTGCATGTTGTTGAATATTCTTGTTGACTCACACTAACAGTCTGCACCTGATGAAACCTGTATAACGAGTCCACTAAAAGTGGATGACAACTGCAATATCATTCAACCCTGCTGGCTCTGCTCAGCAAAATGTCTCCATCACAAAAAGTCACTGTAGTGTCCTCAAGGAGTTATCAATGGAAAAGCACCATGGTAACATACTTCTCTGGAGCATGGGCCGTGCAGGAAAGAGGCTTATCCCCAGAGTCGACCCATGCCTGGGTTGGCTGTACCGTGCAGGGGATGAGGAAGACTGTGTACTCCCCAGAGTAGTCTTTCCTAGAGCACAACAGAAAGCACACTGTCAGCGGCCTTAAGATGGATACACTTCCTTAATGTGAGAGCATTAGACGTCACGTTGCTTACCTGCTATAGGAGCTTGTGGCTCTCCAGAGCTGGTAGGGTGAATCAAAGGACTGTGCGCTCCACATCAGCTGCAGGTCAAATTCAATGCCTCCCAAGTGATCTGGAGCCATCAGGTGAGATTTCTGTCCAGGGAGGGTGTGATGATCAGGGACAAATTGACCTAGAGGGAGAGGAAAGTTTCATCAGTCACTCATAATACAAGATGTCAAATACGGATTTGGACACTTATGCCACACTTCAAAATGCCACATGGTTGGATATTCTAATGCAGAGACGCTGAGACTTTAAGTTAGTATTCCAATCATTTAATGACATATTTGCATGTTCACAGTTCTATGATTGTTTTTAGTAGTTTTAACACTAATTATCAAAAATAAAGACAGAAATATATTACTGTTGTCAATTACACTTGTATTATAATAACAATAATAATCATCATTTTTATTTTATAAATAACAACACTAATATTTATGTCTTAAATTCTTCACTTTCAAATGTCCAAACCCTCAAGCTTTTAACATTTCTCTAATTCTCTAGCATTTATTATTATTATTATTATTAATTTTTTGGGGGGAATACTTGTTAAATGCTGTAAACTTCTGTCCACAAGAGCATTGGAAATTATGCGATTGTGTAAATAAAGTAAACCTAAAATCTGAAAATACTGGCTCACGAGCTGCTCATGTGTAAATGAACACAATGCCACTCTTCACTCTGGAACACATAATGCAACAGATTATATACTTTTTCATTAAATAACAGTAAATCGAAGGCTGTGATTTAACATTTTTGATTCACACTAAGCTATTATGCAATTTTTATTTTATTTTAATTAATTGTGCAGCTGCATTTATTTATTTATTTCAATTGAACAAATAACGAATGTTAACGAACCCCCTGCAGTTCCTTCATGAACCCTTGTTTGGGAAATCCTGTTCTAATGCAATGACATTCATTCATTTTTTTAATGGTAAATAGTGTACAAATACAATTTTAAATGTCTCCAGGTAAAAACATCAGGTCGTGTTCATAAATAAAATTAAATGATAACAAATTGCTAAAAACAGAAGTTACAGACCTCTAAACTTGGCGTGGGTTTTGAACTCAATCACCAGTCGTCCGTCATCCCTAATGAAGATCCGAATGATCTGTAATCTAGCTGACATCACACTGTCTGTCTGGATGCCTAGAGGAATGTTCATAAGCAATCAGTTAACATCAGCTGCGACATTAACACAGTAAGGTGATGACAGCAGTTTGCGCCCGAGTATGTCCATTGGCTTTGGGGCTGGCGATGAAGCGACATGTACCTGTTCTCCACAAGACCGTGTCATAGAAGAAGGAGAACTCCATCTCTGTGTGGTGCTCTAGGGAGGCCCATCCACGAGGAGCCGTCACATAGATATAGGACACGTAGAGCGGCACCTGCACCGTCAGGAACGACTGAGCCGAGTCTCTGACCTAAAAAATGCAGCCACACACTCATTTGAATTGCTGTATGGACTAAATCTGCCACATCAGATTTTGTCTAGACGAGAACATTTATATATCATTTGTGGTGGGATACAAGTCATGTGGTCACACAAACCTGAAAGTCAGCAGTTACTGATCCTCCACATACATCAATAAGCTCTGTCATGTCATAATATGCATCAAATGTCCATATGCAGCTCTTCAGATTGAGATGCTTGTATAGCTGGATGCTTCTGGGTTCTCGAACACTAGGGTTGAATTGGTATGGACGGTCATATCCGGGACCCAGGGATATGCTGTCATACGACACATCATCCAAGAAGCCGGTTTCTGGGGGAGAATTTACAACGTATTTTCTGAGTTGAACGATTCAGAGTTCTGATTCATTAGCCGCTATAAGTAAATAACTATAATAATAACAAAGTGCAGTAAAGAGTAAAACTAATTGCACTACAAACCAGTGTACTTATGTTTACAATACTACATTAAAATAATATCATAAATACCAGTTTGTGATATCAAGCAGTGTAAGGATAAAAGAAACTCAGATACTTTGATCTTCTGAGACAGACAATACACACACAGTGCATTAACATACAGACATCTGTTTCCGCATCTCACTGAGAGAAAATGCGGGAAAACGTCTCTCACATATGCATTGGTTCCTCCTCATCCCCTTCCTTCCCCGCACCCATCCTTCTCTTCACCCAGCTCACTCAGAATGGTCAATGGTAGAATATAATGTTCTATATGAATGCAAATAAGATTTACAGTCATGTTTGGTATCATTTGAATAGTCTCAGGGCGAGTGGTACAATGGTCTTAATCTTACAAAAGTAGACTAAAAGATAATACAGATCCTAAGATACTTTGATTACTGTAGAGGGTCATTCCATGCAAATTACCTTCTGTTCCCATTGAGGTGCAAACCACCCAGGTCTGGGACCTGGGTTAATGCAAATTCCAATTGTTTGTACATGCATTTGGGGGATGTTTTATCTTGGTTTTGTATTTGTATTTATCTTGGATTGCAACAAAAGAGTCGGGGCGATTCTGTAGCCAGAAAGCCCATAGTATGAAGTGTGTCCACACACTTCACACTATGTATTTTTCTAAAAAGTCAGGTATGCATCTTACTCTTAGATTTGTCTATGAGAATTTGATATATGGTATTGATTTGATATCTTTGAATTGGCTATGGAGATAATTGGCATAATACATATTTACCTGACTAATTTATTCTGACTTACTCTGAAATTGAGTAAATATAAGTAAAGAGTTAACTAGAATAATCAAATGTCAGAATAATAGCAATAATTAAAGACAGACAAACAACCAATTTGCCTTTCAACCTAAATTCGAGGTCATACTAAAATGGAGTCAGATTTGAGTTAAACCTAAATTGAATAACTTTGCGCGCTGAAAAGACCGAACACGCAAGAAACCTTCATCCACCACTGGATACCTTCATTGGGCCAAGTGCGTGGACCTTACAAGCAGCATAACAGAGAGTTTTTATACAGCTAAAATAACCTTGCACATTCAAGTTAAAGATGGTCACACCGGCTTTTGTTGCTAACAAGGTGGGTAAGATAGGTGATAGATTTGATCTGATCTAATCTAGTATGGGGTCTCTCTCACCAGAGATGCCATGCAGGTCTTTAAGTGTGACCAGGTTGGAGCAGATGTGCTGCTGACGGTAAATAGACTCGGAGAGCAGGAAGTGTAGGTTATGCAGAGGCATGGTGGACACCAATGGAAGCATTCCATCCTGATGAGGGATCTGCACTGAGATATGGATCCTGTTCAGAGAAAAATAAGTATTACTCGCTTTATAAAATGCTATTTTCTTCTTTGAGGTACTGAACATAGGCTGGGAAATGTGTTGTTTTGGATCTGCAGTTGTCTAACAAGTTTATTTCTTGGTGTTCCTTCAAATGTATAAATTCATTTTGATCTTGCTTTGCCCAGAGGCAAAAAAGATCTAGTGCTCTACAAACCCTACAGCTGCAGTTTCAGTCGAAAAATGCTTTTAATTCCTGTTTCTCAAATCTCTACTAGGATCTGTCCTAATTAAAAGACTTCTACGTCTGTATTCAATAATTTGCTTACAAAAAGTCACTCCTGACCTGTTTGGATGCTCTTTGTGTTTGACATCCAAATATTTTAGAGTGGCAATAAAGGACTGGGCCTGAAAGCCTCGAGCGGTTCCTGTGGTGACGGGGGTGTGGCATATTGATCCCTCAGTGCCAATAGTGACAATGTTGCTCCTCAGTGGAGTTCCCAGGTGCCCGGCTTTATCTCTGGCCTGAGCTACGCAACGCACATGGAAACGTCTGCTGAAATAGATACTGTCCAGAACCTGTGGAGCAAAAGTATTTATTTAACCCCAGAAAACTCAGCAAAAGTGAAAATGCTGCCTGATCATATTACTTATGAATGTATTACATATGGCAAACCACATGGCTGATTGCAGTATGTGAGGTTTTAGTTAACAGCTAGATTAAAAACACTGGTTGGTAATATTCTATTTATGACAGACGATAACAATCTAAATATCAGACTAACCATGTGATTGACTGTGGTGTAAGGTGTGTTATCCGTCACTGTCTCAAAGGGTGATCGTGCTCCGCTGGTGTCTGTGGGAGTTGCGACCTCCCAGCTGAAGTGGACTGAGGTCTGGTTGATGCCTGCCTCCTCACAGCGTTCTCTCAATTCTGAGTATTTGGGGTAATGGGGGTCACAGGGAGTCACACAGACCAGAGGATATCCAGGAGATGGAGATTTCTTACTGCCCTCTTTAGTGACCTCCTGGACATAGTCATAGTCTGACAGAGACACCACCTGTGAGGAGAGTCCATATGAAACCAAACTTGATTCAAAATCAAAAGAGAGTTGTGAGATCTTACAGCTCTCCTTGAATAGGATCTTCATTAATTTAGTACGATTGAATGTTAGAAACCTTTGTAGCGTGCATGTAATGATTTTACTTGCTTGTCACAATAACGTAGGCCAGTGACTTAAATGATCTAAATTTCAGGACTTTTCTAAAAAAAACTTCATGGGAAAAATGATACACTACCATTCATAAGTTTGGGGTCAGTAATTTTATTATTATTATTTTTTCTAAAAAAAACGGTGTCACTGAAGAATGGAGTAATGGCTGCTGAAAATTCAGCTTTGCCATCAGACGAATAAATTACATTTTATAATATATAAAATATTATATCGTTTTTTTAGTAGCATTTCACAATATTACTGTTTCTACAAGACTTCACAACCCTTTGAACAGTAGTGTATGTGATTTGATTAATTAATAAGATGCCATTCAAATTTTTAATCAGCTGACAAGTATTCAGATTTTGACATACTAAATGTCAGTCGCCCAAGCATCTACTGTACATCTCTTACAATGGGTGGGGCTGGAAGGATGAGACTTCCTGCAGCTTCCTGATCTAGGATGGTGACTGTTGCCATGGTGATCTGTCCAAGCACGGCTTCAACAGGATCATCTGGACCAAGGACCAATGAGAAAGATTCATGCCACTCTCTATCTTCATTGGACAGGATCTCTACCTTAAACAGGATGTGGTCCACACCTGAGGAACAACAGAATTATCACAGATTAGAATGAAGTTATAGTCTTAAAATAAAAAAAGGACAAAAAGTGCTAAATAAATATACTTACCAGGGCTGAACTTAAGGACTCGACTCTTGGGGTTATAGTCTACACCTGACTGGGCTGATCCATCCCTTGTGCTGCATCGGATCTTGGATGTGCGTTCAAGGTCTCCTTTACGGATTACCTTGATATTCAAAACCTCAATTCCATCTGGACCGGGGGGCTCACGAACTTGGTATGAGGCTTGCTCAAACTCGATCGTAGGTGCTGAAAAGCATGATGTGCACTTTTACATTTATGAATTTGGCACTTTTATGCAAAGCAACCTACAGTGCATTCAGGCTATACATTTTATCAGTAAACGCGCACCCTGGGAATCGAACCCATGGCTTCATTTTGCAAGAGCCCTGCTCTACTAGAGCTTTCTTTAAAAGTTAGAATTGTTTTATTGTGTGTTAAGCAACAAGCTAACTACTGACCATCTTCATCATTTGTGATGGTCACAGTCACAATGTCGTTGATTCCAATCATGGCTCCAATCCAGTGCTCACCCTGTGGGCTTCCAAGGTGGACCTGGAACTCCTCTTCAGGCTCAAACACAGAGTCATCCTGGATCAATATGGTACAATTCTTCACCTGCCAATCAGAAGCAAGAGGCTTTCAAATGCTTTGTCTAGCATCGTCTGTAAACTACTAAAAAACAGAGGCCATATGAAAACAATACCATATCATAAAATGACTAAATTCACAGAATGTTGGTGAAGTGAATCAGTGACTAAAAGAAACCATGCCTTTTCCCCTTTCCGGAAGGTGATCCTGGAATCATCAGCATTTCTCCTCTCCTCGAAGTCATCCATCACCATAGCAGACATTGTGCGTGTGAAGCAACGGACAGAAGACTTATAGGACAGATCTCCTGTCCTAAAAATTGGGATGTGCAGGACACCATCTTTTTCCTTCACCGTATACGCCAGCTTTTCAAACTGCATGCTAGGTACTGTAAGAAGACAGCATTGACTCCATAAGTATGTTTATATTAACATTATATTATGTTATATGGACGTTACGACTGTGATTACGAGTGTAATGGACAAGTAAACGCACTGTCTTGGGTGGTGTCAGTGATGTAGACAGAGGCTTCATATGGTTCAGTCAGGACCGCTCCGTTGGGAGAACTAAGAAACACAATGAAGGATTCTTTCCCTTCGATTGTCGGGTTCTGAATGTCATCCATTATGGTCAAACTACATGTCTAGGAGTAAGAGTAAACAAATGATAAACGTGATTTTGGTGAAATAATTCTTACTTAGATTTCTTACTTGATTTATTGAAATGAAGCCTGTAAACACCAATAGTCTTACAGTATGTCAGAGCAGACTAGTTTCATTACCTCCTCGTATGCACTCGGCAGATACTTTTATGCAAAGCAACTTAGTGCATTCAGGCAATACATTTTACAAGTAAATGCATACCCTTTGAATTGAACCCATGGATTCATGTTCCAAGAGCTTTCTTTGAAAATGTGAATTTGTTTAAACCTTTTATGTTTAAGATTGTGAGTTAAGCAACAAGCTAACTACTCACCATCTTCATCATTTGTGATGGTCACAGTCACAATGTCGTTGATTCCAATCATGGCTCCAATCCAGTGCTCACCCTGTGGGCTTCCAAGGTGGACCTGGAACTCCTCTTCAGGCTCAAACACAGAGTCATCCTGGATCAATATGGTACAATTCTTCACCTGCCAATCAGAAGCAAGAGGCTTTCAAATGCTTTGTCTAGCATCGTCTGTAAACTACTAAAAAACAGAGGCCATATGAAAACAATACCATATCATAAAATGACTAAATTCACAGAATGTTGGTGAAGTGAATCAGTGACTAAAAGAAACCATGCCTTTTCCCCTTTCCGGAAGGTGATCCTGGAATCATCAGCATTTCTCCTCTCCTCGAAGTCATCCATCACCATAGCAGACATTGTGCGTGTGAAGCAACGGACAGAAGACTTATAGGACAGATCTCCTGTCCTAAAAATTGGGATGTGCAGGACACCATCTTTTTCCTTCACCGTATACGGCAGCTTTTCAAACTGCATGCTAGGTACTGTAAGAAGACAGCATTGACTCCATAAGTATGTTTATATTAACATTATATTATGTTATATGGACGTTACGACTGTGATTACGAGTGTAATGGACAAGTAAACGCACTGTCTTGGGTGGTGTCAGTGATGTAGACAGAGGCTTCATATGGTTCAGTCAGGACCGCTCCGTTGGGAGAACTAAGAAACACAATGAAGGATTCTTTCCCTTCGATTGTCGGGTTCTGAATGTCATCCATTATGGTCAAACTACATGTCTAGGAGTAAGAGTAAACAAATGATAAACGTGATTTTGGTGGAATAATTCTTACTTAGATTTCTTACTTGATTTATTGAAATGAAGCCTGTAAACACCAATAGTCTTACAGTATGTCAGAACAGACTAGTTTCATTACCTCCTCGGTCTTGCCTGGTCTAAACTCCACCTTTTTGGAACTCGGGATGTAGTCAACACTGGGCGTGGCCGAATCTTGTTCAGCAGGACGTGTGGCACACCACACAGAGGTTACTGAGGAAAGGTCACTGCCCTGCCGCAGAACAGGGATTTCAATGGTGCCTGTGGGAAGATGTTTCAGACTATCAATATGGCATAAGTATTGGACAGATTACAAAATACACTACTGTTCAAAAATGTGATTTAAGTAATATTATTTTTGAAAAGAAATTATGCAACAAGGATGCATAGATCAAATTTGACAGTAAAGACATTTACAATGTTGCAAAAGATTTCTATACCAAAATAAATTCTGTTCTGTTTCTATTCATCAAACAAACAAATGATAAACGTGATTTTGGTGGAATAATTCTTACTTAGATTTCTTACTTGATTTATTGAAATGAAGCCTGTAAACACCAATAGTCTTACAGTATGTCAGAGCAGACTAGTTTCATTACCTCCTCGGTCTTGCCTGGTCTAAACTCCACCTTTTTGGAACTCGGGATGTAGTCAACACTGGGCGTGGCCGAATCTTGTTCAGCAGGACGTGTGGCACACCACACAGAGGTTACTGAGGAAAGGTCACTGCCCTGCCGCAGAACAGGGATTTCAATGGTGCCTGTGGGAAGATGTTTCAGACTATCAATATGGCATAAGTATTGGACAGATTACAAAATACACTACTGTTCAAAAATGTGATTTAAGTAATATTATTTTTGAAAAGAAATTAATAAATTTTAATTGAGCAAGGATGCATAGATCAAATTTGACAGTAAAGACATTTACAATGTTGCAAAAGATTTCTATACCAAAATAAATTCTGTTCTGTTTCTATTCATCAAACAATCCTGAAAGAAATATATCACAGTTTCCACAAAAACATTAAGCAGCACAACTGTTCAACACTGATAATAATAAGAAATGTTTCTTGAGCAGCAAATCAGCATATTAGGATGATTTCTGAAGGATCATGTGACACTGAAGACTGGAGTAATGCCCGCTAAAAGTTCAGCTTTGCCATCACTGGAATAAATTACATTTTAAATATATATTCAACAGTCATTTCAAATTGTAATAATATTTTACAATACTACTGTTTTTATTGTACATTAACTGATTAAATAAACGCAGCCTTGGTGAGCATAAGGGACTTCTTTCAAAATATATGATATATGACCCCAAAGTGGTATTTTTGATTTTGAATTGTTCTTGTTGCTCTCCATCCTTAATAATAATAAAAATGATTGAATAATGCTCAAAATCTTCACTACTCAGTTGAGAATGAAACGGTTTAAATGATGTTTTCAAATCACAAAATTATTGTTTGTATTCTAGATTAATATTCCCAATCTATAATTAATAAATCAACTACCACATTTTTAAAACAAAACTGACGCCCATGATACTACCTACAACAGCCAAACTCCACCAACCTGCATCTTCACTGAAGGTGAAGGACGCGTTGCCCAGGAAGACAGTGGAGGCATCATTTGGCCCATCTATAATGACTTTAGCCACAGTGACATCACCCATCCGTGCATTGTCCGAGGCGTCCGACAGCACCAGCTCAAACTCCTCAGAGTGTTCATACTCGCTGTCATCAATCAGCTTTACATCACAGGTAGACATGCTCACACCTGGGCCAAAGATGACTCTGTTGTCACTGCTCATGCCACGGGTCTTATAGTCAGAGCCGGACTCGAGAGCGTGCAGGCTGCTGCCCCGGGCTGACTTAGGCACAGTGTAGCAGAGGGCTGAGACTGTGCTGCTGGTGTCACCTAATTAAAAGACAAGAGATTACCTTTAGTATATAACACACGATGATGAAGATCATCATTTTAAAAAGGATGATACTTTCTAGTCAATACAATATTTTTTAAAGTAGTGTGTACATATTAAATTTCACTGACTTGATCTTGAAGCTTCTCAGAAAAATTGGCACGTTTTTATGGATTAACCATGTAAAGAGCAATTTAGTTGAGCCATTTGAACATTTATACAAGTTAAAGGAATGTTCCAAAAAAAAAAAGAAAAAAAGACAATATTAAAATTCTGGTCAATAAACTGATATTTATTTTCATGTTATAGACTGATAACCGACAAATTGCTGCTATTAAAATGTATACTATTATGTCTAAATAGAATAGAATAAAATAAGACGGCTGAAATCAAAATGTGCAATATTTATAATATTGGACGTAATGTACAGTATTAAAAGTGGATATTTATTTTGAGATTTGCTAAAGATTACATTTAACAGTGTTAATAAATTAGTGTTTTGAAAGATTAACTATAAGTGAGCATTTAATGAAGCCAAAGTATGAATACAAAGTATGATCCTGCATCCTTAAATACAAGGTAATCAGTATACACACCACCCCCAATATTCAGATTAGGGGCTGATCCTTAAATTAGCACATTTTACCGTCCTCAGTCTTTCATATGTAGTTATATTCTTGAGCATGATTATTTTATGGAATAGGATTTATAACGTATGCAGATATGAAGATCTTTTAATTAAAAAAAGAAAAAAAAATGGGTTCCACTGACCATTTCTTTCAACAGGAGCAAAGATAAAGCCTGTGCTCTCATTGGCATGGTAGGTCTTCTTATCAAACTGCAGGGTGGGTTCATCCTCCGTGTCATTGATATTGACTTTAGCACGGGTCACTGACCCCAGCAGGGCGTACACTGGCATACTCAGCTCCACATTAAAGCTCTCAGTGTTCTCAAAGACCTGGTCATCATTGATCACAATGGTGCACACCTTGGTGTCTTCTCTCTCATCAAACTGAACCTGGGGAACCACATTAAAGAGCATTTGAATGTTGATGACTTCATCAATCTATCAAATATCAGGGAATTTGATTATTATAGAATAACACTTTGAAATAATAAAGAATACACTAGAACATACTTGTCCGGCATACTCAACATAGTCCTGTTGTCCGGCCCGAGAGCCCATGCTGGAAGTGGAGGTGGCAGTGCCTTGCTCGGTTCGACACAGCACAATAGCATACTGGTTCAGATTCCCGGTCCTCTTCACTGTGACCGCCACGGTTCCGTCTTTTTCACTCACATTGTAGCTGCAGACAGAAGACAACACATTACTGAGAACGAGTAGTTGGTTAGATGAAGTCATCTAGAACAAAAACTGAGGCAGCCGCACCTCTTTTGCTCAAAGCTGATAAGAGACCACTGGATGTGAAACACATTGTCACTGACAATGTTGGGTTTGCTGTCCTTCACAAAGAACCTGAAGTTGTCCATGGTCTCTTGAACATTGTCCTCACTCAGAACGTATCGGATAAGGCCCAGGTTTATGTCAGCTGCAAAACAGAATAAATTAAGTTACCTTTTACAACTCCAAATGTACTAGCCGAATTTGATGAAGGCGCATTTAGTTTGTAACACCAAGCGTACACTACAAGACTGAAGCTTGTTGTCCTGCACACATCTAGAGCCCCAGTTTTTAGTTTTTGTACGAAACGAATCACAGACCATGTTAACTATAAGTGTAACTATAACAATTACAAGATCATTCTCCTCACCTACTGTGGTTATTATCCCAAAATTAGTTCTCATACTAATTCAGTGCCAGAGCTGATTCTTGAAAACAGGTCAGCGAACAATATGGAGGAAGGCTTGTGGTTGATTTTGGACAGGACAGAAAAAACAAGCACAAAAGACAGTGGATGACATGTGCAGATGTTTGTTTTTTTGGGCTTTTTTTTTGGGTCCCACTTTATATTAAGTGGCCTTAACTACTATGTACTTACATTTAAATTAATCATTTGGTACAATGCACTTATTGTGCACATACAAGTTTTTACATTGTACTTGTCATACCACCAAACCTGTCCCTAACCTTACCCATATCCCACCTCAATAGCAGCAAAAGTGTTTTGCAATACAATATGAACACAATAAATATATTGCACTTATTTTTTGATGTAAGTACATAGTAGTTAAGGCCACTTAATATAAAGTGTGACCAAATCGTGGCTGTGTCTTTCTGTTAGCTATGCTTTGGGGGGTTTTGTCACAGAATAGCTTCAGCCTTGTAGTGTGCTCTTGGCTTTGGGAGGTGTCAATAATACCTTGCGTGAAAGAGGTGATAGGTTTGCCAGGATTGAGTTTACTCTCGAGGTAGCCGTGTTTAGCTTCTGTAGTGACTTCATAAGTCAGCTGCCCATCATCTGTGTCCGGATCAACAGTGAGAAGCTCTTTCTTGGTGATCAGATTGGTGGCCTAGAATCCCATTTCACATCAAAATGTCATTTTATGCTTTGGTTAAAGAGAATAAACTATATCACTTTTGCACCAATGCAAGATAAAGCCAGTAGGAGGCAGAAATGTACTGTTAGTTGAGATGTCAACACCTCATCGGGTGAATTAATTAGGCTCTTATGTGATTATAAATACAAAACAGTGTTACTAAAGTGACCTTATTTTCCATGTACTCCAGCCACTGCAGGCCCAGGTTGGTGACAATACGAGGGGTCCCGTCATCAACAGGTAAAATATCGATTTTAAACTTTTGTGGAGCAGCGGTGATAACCTGAAACAAAGGGTATTTACACACAATGTTAACCCTCCTGGCTGATACAAACCCTGTTTCATGTATTTCCAGAAGAGTAATTGCTTCTCATTTACCAACAATGCTCACTTTAATATCCATTCAATCTCAGATAAAACCTATTTAAATTCTAATGTGAAGTCGAGCTTTCTAAAGTGCTGAGTAATGGTGTTCTAGGCCTTCCTGATTAAACACTGTCATAGGGCTGCTAGTTTGTCATCTTATGACAAGACGAGGTGCCCCTTTTTCAGTGACCACTGAGAGATCATTTACCTCCCAGAACAACTGACTGCCAGCTGACGCAGCTGGAAGAGGAAAAAGCGACTGCTGATGAATAGAGTTATTATGATGGAGGGAGAGAGATTGACTCTGTCTAAATGGCTATGTTAAACAAATGGACAGGATACCTTCAGGTGATTCATATGGTAATTTATATTCATGCTTTTATAAATATAATGAGCCATTTTCAAATGCAAAAATGTAAGTTTGTGTGCATACACTACTGTTCAAAAGTTTGATTGTACGATTTATTAATGTTTTTGAAAAAAAAAGTTTATTATGCTCACCAAGGCTGCATTAATTTGATTTAAATTACTGTAAAAACTGTAATATTGTGATATATATTTTTTTGGCAATTTAACTGTTTTCTATTTTAACAATTAAAAAAAAAAAAAGAAGTAATTTATTCCAGCCATTACTCCAGTCTTCAGTCTCAAGATCCTTCTGGTGCTCAAGAAACATCATGTTAATATATTACAACTACTACAAACTAACCTGTAGTAGTTTTTGGTTGTGAAATATGTTTTTTTAAATACATGTACAAACTATTTCCACAAGGAGATCACCCAGCAGCTCTCACTTAGTTTCCCAATGAAGATGGAAAGCAGAGGTTGTTGTTGAAAAATTTGTTAGTGAGGTCAGCAGGGGGCGCTCACCCTGTGGTCTGTGTGGGTCATAATGCCACAATATAATGACGGGGCCACTGTGCTTTAAAAATGCACTGTCCTTCAGATGACATGCTGAACTGAGGTCATGACTCTCAGTGGTCATTAAAAATTCCCAGGGTGTTTCTTTTAAAGCGTACAGTAGGTGTATAACCCTGATCAAAAAATCATCTCTATGAGTATTTACTATATTTGGAGGACATTTTCAGATATATGGCCCTCTACATACAGCTATTAATATAACACTGATGACAACTGGCCACATGGACAAGCTCAAATAACACAGGAAGTCTACTGACCTCTTTTCCACCCTCTTCAATGATGAAGAACATGTTGGTGCCATCACCGACAGTGAAGGTGAATCGGTCTTTGAGGGAGTTACTGCCGTCATGGTTGTAACTGATGCGGTTCTGATAGATGTCGTCCATAGTGAAGGTGTTGGTCTGACGGTAATGCTGACCATTACTTGTGCGCTCAATGGTCCCATGACGAGGAGCCTGAACAACAGTGAACGTAACAGAGTCCTCCTGACAGAGAATTTAAGGGAGAGAGATCATCAAACAGGTGTGAAATTAAATGAAATTGCCACTAAGAAGTACATGAGCACTGATATTAAATGCAACGGATGTCAGCTGTGTGCACCGGAATATTTGAGTCGAGCAGGGCGACAGTAATTTCCCTCTCGCTCAAAGTGTTCTGTAATCACTCTGGGTTTTCCATTTCCATCTCCTCACTCGTTCTCTGCACTAGTATGACTGTTCATAAGTTTGTCTACATCGACTAAACATCTGAGATGAGAGAGTTACACTAGTGTTTGGGGTCAGCAAGGATACATTTAATTCATCAAATTACAGTAAAGGCATTTATACTGTTACATAAAATAAATGCTGTTCTTTTGAACTTTCTATTCATCAAAGAATCTTAAAAAAGATATCACGGTGTTCACAAAAAATATTAAGAAGCACAACTGTCTCAACATTCATAATAATAAGAAAGGTTTCTTGAGCACCAAATCGGCACAGAATGATTTCTGAAGGATCTTGTGACACCGCTTTGCCATTACAGGAATAAATAAAATTGTTAAAATATATTAAAATAGAAAAGGATACAGGAACTATTCGAGCCGTTCATGCCAGACTGGGGAGAGAGGTGTTGTAATTATGTAAAATATGTGAAAAATAATGTGTTTTTCGAACAACTTAGTATGATAGCCTGTTCTAGTAAACCCCCAAAACAAAATCAAGACTTTGTAAAAGAGCATTATAGGACCCCTTTAAATTGTAAGAATATTTTATAATATTACTATTTTTTTACTGTATTTACGATCAAATAATTGCAGCCTTGGAGAGAGTACTGTAAGAGATTTCTTTCAAAATCTTACCAACCCCAAACATTTGAACAGTAGTGTATGTATTACCCACCTATTTCCATATGTGACAGGAACTTGTTTTTCTCAACATTTCTTTTCAAAATCCTTGAATCTTTTTGTGATGGTCATTTGTACAATAATATTTCACAAATTCCATCATTCTGACCTCTAATAGTCTGTCAAATATAAAGTTCAATTCTTGATGACATGTAATATTTGCATTATGGGCTGTTAACATGTGTTAGAGATGGATCAAGAAAACATTAATGCTCTGACTTCCAAAAAGATATAGGGGGGAAAAAAGCTCCAGGCAAAATCGTGCAAATTCCACACTCCACTTCCACTCAGCGGAGCAATCTCTGGTCTGCACTACATTAAATTCGCATAGAAATCCATTACAGTAACATTAAACATACAGTCCATATTTAAATCTAATGTATGGCATTTAAATCCTACATTACAAGCTTTGCTGAAAATCCTTATGCTTCATCTTTTTCTTTTTTTTTTTTCAAAGAATAAATAAAGCAAAACCACAGCAAAATTGAAAGCACATTCGGGGTAAAACTCTGCGATAAGTGATACCTCTGTGTCAGCATCGGTAGCCTTCAGCTCAAACTCAGTAATGGTCTTCCTCACTCCTTCCTGCACCCTCATCCCTGGCACCTGCAGGACGGGCAGAGAATCGTCCACCGGCCAGATGCTGATATAGAATGTCTGTGAAATCTGAAGGACAACAGCATAACAGTAATGAAATAATTAAATGCGCAGTGCTCAGTAACTGAATCTAGATATGGGCTCAATTGTTCTGCCGCACACAATCTAATTTCCCACTAATTAGGTTTATGTAATTATCCTATCAGAGTAACAGAGAGACCATAAAGAAAAGTGGCTTTAAACCACTGACAGCTAAAGTGAATTAGACAAATAATGCAAAAACTCATCCTTAATAAAAGTGCGGAAAGAGAACATAGAAAATTAGTACATTAAAAATGTACTTAGCAATTTTTTCTCATTAAAAATGTTTAAATCCTAAAGAAATTAGCATTTTGAAAAGCATGATTGAATCATGACTCCACTCATGCCAGTATTACATGCAGGTCCAATTAATACTACTGACTTTATTTGTAACCACATTATTACTGGACGCATTTGCTTTCAGGATAAATTAACCATAGCTGACTGTGTCTAAAGCATTTCTACAATGGAACTGGCATCAGAAAATATTGTTTCTGCATCCACGCCACTAGGTGTCAGTATAAGTCTAAGACAACTGCCATATAGACCAGTGCAGCATTAATAAAAAATGCACCTTTAATTTGGCAGCACAATACAAGTGTATTTACGCATCATTTTCCACTCAAAATGGCAGAAGAGTGTTTCCCGCAGAGAGCAAAGCCCATTGTAGGATAACTGTGTGTTCATCTCTTTCAGACACTCATTAGGCAGCCTGTGTTTATTCAAGCTCTTTCGGCCCTAATTAGTGTGTGTGTGGGCGTGTATGTGTTTATAATGGAAAGAAAAGGGGTGAAAAAAAGAGAGTATGAAAAGGCAAGAGGGAGGATTGAGATTACTGTGGGAGGAAGTGTGTGTGTTCAGCATGAGTAGAATGAGAAATAGAAAGCGAAGGGTGGGCATGTACGTGTTTATATCCATGTTAGTTACCGTGAATGATGAGTGTTTAATCATTTTTTATAACATATTATATCATTAGCAGAACAACTTGAGTGAAAAGTTCAGCTGAAAAATCACATGAATTATTGAAATATTTTAGTATTTATTTTGTGCCTCTTTTACAGCCACTATTATTTTAATATTATTTATATACTACTATAGTATTTATTAATATTTTGAATGAGCTTTTATTTTATAATTTCAGTAACTTTAAGTAATCTTTAGTAACGAGAACATTTCTAATTTTCGTTTTTAAGTTTTAAAGTTTTATGTTTTTTAAGATTTAGTTTTTCTTTCAATATTTACTGTATATTATTTTTTATTTTATTATTTAGTTCAATAATTAACAAAAACTATTTGTAACACTGAGCAGTATATGAGCTGCAGATACTACACAAGTTTGTGTAAAACAGATGACCATGTTCTCCAGCACAATTTGAGAAGAGCATCTTGTGCTTCAATGGCAGAAGAACATCTGAGTGCCCATACAAAGAGTCACATGATTAATGTCACTAATTGTATTATTTGATTAGTGAAATTTACACTTTTCAGAATCCAAGTCTTCTGCTCATCTCCAGTTATATA